ATCACTTGAGCCCAGGATTTTGAGACCAGCCCAGACAACATAGTGAGACCCTGTGTCTGTTTTTAAAAATATACCTGGGCATAGTGATGTGCACCTATAGTCTCAGCTACTTGGGAGGCTGAGGTAGGAGGATCAACTGAGTCTAGGGAGGTCAAGGCTACAGTGAGTTGTGATCGCAGTACTGCACTCCAGTCTGGGTGACAGAGTGAGACCCTGTTTCAAAAAATTAAGAAATTGAGTGCCGGGCGTGGTGGCTCACACCTGTAATCCCAGCACTTTGGGAGGCTGAGGCAGGTGGATCACCTGAGGTTGGGAGTTTGACAGCAGTCTGACCAACATGGAGAAACCTTGTCTCTACTGAAAATACAAAGTTAGCCGGGCGTGGTGGCACTTGCCTGTAATCCCAGCTACTTGAGAGGCTGAGGTAGGAGAATTGCTTGAACCTGGGAGGCAGATGTTGTGGTAAGCCGTGATCGTGCCATTGCACTCCAACCTGGGCAACAAGCGCAAAAATCCGTCAAAAAAAAAAAAATCATAATCAAAAACCTTTCCACAGGGCTGGGCGCGGTGGCGCATGCCTGTAATCTCAGCACTTTGGGAGGTCGAGGCGGGTGGATCACAAGGTCAGGAGATTGAGACCATCCTGGCTAATATGGTGAAACCCCATCTCTACTAAAAATACAAAAAATTAGCTGGGTGTGGTGGTGGGCGCCTGCAGTCCCAGCGACTTGGGAGGCTGAGGCAGGAAAATGGGGTGAACTCGGGAGGGGAGCTTGCAGTGAGCCGAGATAGCGCCACTGCACTCCAGCCTGGGCGACAGAGCAAGACTCCGTCTCAAACAAACAAACAAACAAACAAACGTTTTCATGAAGAAAACTCCAGGGCTAGGTAGTGTATTGTACTAAATAGCTAAGGAATAATCTCACAAACTTCTAGAAATTAGAAGAGAGCACTTCCCAACTCATTTTATGATGCCAGTATAACCCTGATACCCAAACCTGACAATGTTGTTACAAAACAGAAAATTACAAATCAGTATCCTTCAAGAACATAGATGGGCTGGGTTTGGTGGTTCACAGCCATAATCCCAGCACTTTGGGAGGCTGAGTTGAGAGGATTGCTTGAGCTTAGGAGTTCAAAACCAGTTTGGGCAACACAGCAAGAGCTTGTGTCTACTAGAAATAAAAAAATATATATATTAACTGGGTGTGATGGCACACTTCTGTAGTCCCAGCTACTTGAGAGGCTGATACGGGAGAATCACTTGAGCCTGGCAGATTGAGGCTGCAGTGAACTGTCATTGTGCCAGTGCACTACAGCCTGGGTGACAGAGCAAGATCCCGTCTCTAGAAGCAAAAACAAAACAACCAAAAAACCAACATAGATGGAAAAATTCTTAACAGCAGAGCAAATCAAATCCAGCAATACCCAAAACGTTTATTGTATGACCAATTTGGGTTTATCTTAGGAATGGAAAGTTTTTTTTAACATTGTGAAATCAATGGTAAAGCTTCTCATAATAGCAGAATAAAGGAGAAAAACCATACAGTCCTTCTATAGATGCAATAACTGCTTGACAAAATCCAGCATTGATTCGTTATCAAAATGAATCATATTTAGAACAGAAGAGGTCTTTCTCAATCTAATAAAGAACATATTGGCAGATTATATCTTTATACTTTCCAACAGTGACCAGAACACATTCCAATTCATATGGTTTTATTTTATTTTGAGATGGGAGTTTCGCTGTTGCCCAGGCTGGAGTGCAGTGGCACAATCTTGGCTCACTGTAACCTCTGCCTCCCAGGTTCAAGCGATTCTCCTGCCTCAGCTTCCCAAGTAGCTGAGATCACAGGCGTGTGCTACCATGCCTGGCTAATTTTTGTATTTTTAGTAGAGATGGGGTTTCGCCATGTTGGCCAGGCTAGTCTCAAACTCCTGACCTCAGATGATCCATCTGCCGCAGCCTCCCAAAGTGATGGGATTTCAGGTGTGAGCCACCAGGCCCCATATGCTTTTCTTATGTGTCATTGACACTCATCCCATCAAGAGGTAGGAACTGTGTCCCCCTTCCCTTGAATCTGACTGAGTGGGCCTGTGACTACTGTGATGTTATGTCACTTGCAAAGGTAGGTCATAAAGCTAAAACAAGGTCCACGTGGTCTTCTTGGAACACTTGCTCTTGGAATCCAGATACCATGCTGTAAGAACACCAAGCAGCTCCTATACAGGAATTATCAACTTGCTAGCCATCTGAGTAAATCATCTTCAAATTAGATCCTTCAACCCTTAAACTTGCTTCATGGAACAGAGACCAGCCTTCCCCACTGAGTCTTGCCTATATTGCAGATTCATAAGCTAAATGAATGATTGTTATTTTAAGTCACTAAATTTTTGAGTTTTGTTGTGTTCTGTTTTTTTTTGTTTTGTTTTGTTTTTTGAAATGGAGTCTTGCTCTGTTGCCCAGGCTAGAGTGCAGTGGCACAATCTTGGCTCACTGCAAACTCCGCCTCCCGGGTTCACCCCATTCTCTTGCCTTATCCTCCTGAGGAGCTGGGATTACAGGCGCCCACCACCACACCCTGCTAATTTTTTGTATTTTTAGTAGAGACGGGGTTTCACCGTGTTAGCCAGGATGGTCTTGATCCCCTGACCTGGTGATCCACCCGCCTCGGCCTCCCAAAGTGCTGGGATTACAGGTGTGAGCCACCGTGCCCAACCTGTTGTGTTGTTAGTTTTGCTTTTGTTTTTATAAAGCATTGGGTAACCATAAAAGGCATCCATGAAAAACCTTCAGCTAGCATCATACTTATTGTTGTAATAATGAATTCTTCCTAAGGTCATGTAGAAAGTAAGGATGTCCAGTGTTACAACTTCTATTTAACCAGTGAACCTAGGCAAAATAAAATAAAATAAAATAAAAATAAAAATATAAAGATAAGTAGGAACAAATTTTATAAATTTTATTCAAATAAAACTGTAAAACGAAATAGAAAATAAAATTTACAAATGAAAAAGTAAAACTGCTTCTTTTCACAGATGACACAATTATTTACACAGAAAGTCTTAATGGATCTACAAACCAACTATTAGAAATTATAGGTGGTGCTTGCTATGGCAGCACATACACTAAAATTGGAACAATGCAGAAAAGATTAGCATGACATGAATATTCATGAAGTGATAAGTCAAAGATAGCAAAATGAGGCCAGGTGCGGTGGCTCAAGCCTGTAATCCCAGCACTTTGGGAGGCTGAGGTGGGTGGATCACCTGAGGTTAGGAGTTTGAGAGCAGCCTGGCCAACATGGCAAAACCCCATCTCTACTAACAATACAAAAAAATTAGCCGGTGTGGTGGCAAGTTCCTGTAATCCTAGCTACTGGGGAGGATGAGGCAGGAGAATTGCCTGAACCCAGGAGGTGGAGATTGCAGTGAGCTGAGTTCGCGCCACTGCACTCCAACCTGTGAGACCCCGTTTCACACACACAAACACACACACAAGAGAAAAAAGGATGGGCCGAGTGTGGAGGCTCACACTGTTCATCCGAGCACTTTGGAAAGCCGAGGATGGCAGATTTCTTGAGCCCAGGAGTTCTTTGCCTCAGCCTCCCGAGTAGCTGGGACTACAGGCTACTCCTTGTTTTGTTGAAACAGCTCATAAAACATTGTACCACAGGTATTGAGACAGTAGAGGTATTTCTGTTGATATCAGGGACAAATACTAATAGAATAACTCCCATTCCAGTGTGTACATATTTGAAAGCCCATGTACATGATAAATATATTAACCTTTTGCCAATTTTTTTTTTTTTTTTCAGACCGAGTCACTCTTTCACCCAGGCTGGCGTGATCTCAGCTCACTGCAACCTCCGCCTCTCAGGCTCAAGTGATTCTCCTGCCTCAGTCTCCTGAGTAGCTGGGATTACAGGTGTGCACCATCACACCCGGCTAATTTTTATATTTTAGTAGAGACTGGGTTTCACCATGTTGGCCAGGCTGGTCTTGACCTCCTGACCTCAAGTGATCACCCACCTCAGCCTCCCAGGGTGTTGGGATTACAGGCCTGAGCCACCGCATGCGGCCCCTTTTGTCCATTTAAAAAATGAATAACAAAAATAAGGATAACCGTTATACCACTGATATTTAACATGGCTCTGGATGTTCTAGTCGATGCCTCCAGAACAGAGAAGTATATAAATATGAAAAATTGGTGCATACCACCGCGCCCAGCAAGGAAACATCTTTTAAAAATGGGAGACACCAGGCCATATTAGAGGCTCAATCCAATAGTGAGGGTGAGGCCGATGATACAAGAGAATGAGGCAGTAATTCAAGAAGCGATGCCCTTGAGAATGTTCGAAGCCCTGGGATGCCAAGTGCAAGTGGAGCAATTGCCCTTTAACCAGAACACTTTGTCTGCTATTGAAAAAAAGTGGAAAGAGGTTTTGAAGAGTGGTTCAGATATCAGAAGTTTTGCAGAATTTATTTATTTATTTATTTATTTTTTGAGACTGATTTTTGTATTTTTAGTAGAGACGGGGTTTCACCATGTTGGCCAGGCTGGTCTTGAACTGCTGACCTCATGGTCCTCCCGCCTCAGCCTCTGAAAGTGCTGGGATTACAGGCGTGAGCCACCATGCCCGGCTAGAAGTTTTGTAGATTTAGCCGTGGCATGATCAAGGAGTTCCTATCTGACAGTTTCTATTTTCTCAATGAGTTTTCCGAAGAAAAGGGGAGAGGCTGTTTCCCAGGGAGTGCGCAGTTCTGAAGGCTAACCAGGGACGCCTGGTTTTGGGCAACTACAAATGGTTGTGTTCAAACTAAGCGTATGTCAGACACGGGTTGGAGTGTCAAGAGAGAAGGCAGGAGCGTTTAGTCTGCTTCAGATATGAAGACTCCCTGTATCCCCAAGGCGGCGGCCAGAGCCCTGCTGCTCAGGAGAGGCGCCCCACGTGGAACGTGCCGGCGCAGGAGGGGCGGCCTGGCGCAGGTCATTTGGGACCTCGTCGGGTTGGCGCATGCGCGCGAGACGCGCAGGCGCGCGCCCCTTTCCGTTTTCTGAGTTTTCTGTGTCACCCCGATTCCGCTGGTTTTTCTGGCTATAGTTCGCCGGTTTTTCTGGCCTTAGTCCCCGCGTCCAGCATGGAGCAGCTGGACGAACTGGAGCTGCTGATGGAGAAGAGTTTTTGGGAGGAGGCGGAGCTGCCGGCGGAGCGGTGAGCGGAGCGCGGGGAGGGTGTGGGAACAAAGCGGGAGATTTGAAAGAAGGAGCGGGAGAGGCCGCGTCCGCACCTCCGCAGACTGACCGGGCTCAGGGCGCAGGGGCCCGGGGCAGCTCCCTGGGCACCCGACGAGCCTCCGGAGTCGGGGCCCGCCTCCCAAGGTGTTCTTTGGGGCCACCCTCAGCCAGAGCCTGGACTTTCCCTCGCCCAGCAGTTCATTGTTTCCCTTGATTTCACCCGTTTCCCTAATTTGAGGAGCTTCGGCCACTGAAATGTTTTTATAATAGGAAATTGCGACCGCCCTAGGCTTTTCTCGATGTTTAGTTGGATTAACTTATCCTTGGGAGATCTCTGCACCCTCAGCCTGGTGTATATAAATGATCAGAGGAAGTTAACCACGGTCATAATGTGGAATTACTTTCAATATAATAGCAATAATGCTAATTAGCGTTGAGGGATTTTTGCGTTTGGGCTTTTGATCAGCAATACCTTTTGAGAAACATCTTTAAGGCATCATAGCCAATCTTGGGAAATTCATGGCCTGAGGCTAGGTGGAGTACATGAATAAAGCGTTTGCAAAATAATAGAACGGTCACATAACAAAAGATAACTTGTAGGGTAATGTGAAAGGCATTTGGTGTTATCACTGGAGAGGTAATGACTTTGGACTCTCGGTTGGTCCCTCACTGATGCCGCAGTCAAACGGGGAAGACTTAGGAGGTACTTAATAGGAGAAGGGCTGTTTTCTTGAGGGGAGATTATTATTTTGCATAATTTTAGACGGCTTGGACCGATGGATGAAAGTATTGAGAAATTGACTTACCCACTTTAAATATAAGGAATAAAGTTCTGAATTACTATGTAAAGGATTGAGCTAATTCGATACGTATTAAGCTTGCGTTCTGTCCAGTGAGATTTTATCGAAAGATTTCCGGCATTACGTTAGCAGGTTGGACTAAATTATTTCTAAGTACAATTCTGTGGCTCATGGTAGGACTTTCAGTGAACCACGGACACTACCCTTTTCCATAACATAAGACTCATATTTACAAAAAGGATCTTGTCCAAAACATCTCCTTTTACTTGTACTTTGGGAAGGCTTGCACCAATGGTAGAAATTTCTTGTTTAATAATATCCAATTTATACTTTCCTTTCTTTTTCTTTTTTTCCCCCCAAGAAACGGAGACTTTTTCTGTCGCTTAGGAAGGGGCGCAGTGGCATGATTGTATCTCACTGCCGCCTCAAACTCCTGGGCTCAAGCAATCCTTCCTCCTCAGCCTCTTGAGTAACTGGGACTACAGGTGTGCATCATCATGCCTGGCTTCCAGTGTATTCTTAATCCTCATTGTAGTGGGTATCCCACAGAACTCCTTACAGAAATTAAAATGGAAAATCTCATATCATGAGCATGTTTGAAATGGCATTACTTCTGGGAAGTTTTTATAATAGGAATTGTGTGTCTTTGCTCTCTTAATTTTACCTATTTTGGCTAAATGTCATTGCAATAAGCTTTTCAGAAGAAAGAAACCTAGAAAACTGGAAGATTGGTTTGTAGATAAAACAGACTGGATGGCTTCTTATTTCATGGTTGTGCTAAAATAGTTTTGTATGTGTGTGCTTTAGATTTCAGAAGAAAGCGGTAGCTTCGTTTCCCAGAACAGTTCTGAGCCGAGGAATGGATAACCGGTACCTGGTGTTGGCAGTCAGTACTGTACAGAACAAAGAGGGAAACTGTGAAAAGCACCTGGTCATCACTGCTTCACAGTCACTAGAAAATAAAGAACTTTGCATCCTTAGGAATGACTGGTAATTTTTATGTGACTTTGAGCACTGATTCGAGTCTTAAGGGTACCATCGTAAAACTCATCAAATGGCTTCTGTGAATGTTACTATAATTTAATTGTTTAAAAGGGAGTAGATTTGATCCTAGCCTAATTCTGCATGAAAATTGTATCTATTTCTCTTGTATCTCAAGTATCATATTCCAAAAATTGACTTTTGTTGTCATTTGAAGATCATGTGGGCCAGACATGATGGCTCACACCTGTAATCCCAGCACTTTGGGAGGCCAAGGTGGGCGGATCACCTCAGGTCAGGAGTTTGAGACCAGCCTGACCAACATGGAGAAACCCCATCTCTACTAAAAATAAAAAAAATTAGCGGGGCCTGGTGGTGCATGCCTGTAATCGCAGCTACTCTGGAGGCTGAGGCAGTAGAATCGCTTGAACCCGGGAGATGGAGGTTGTGGTGAGCCGAGATCGTGCCATTGCACTCCAGCCTGGGTAACAAGAGCAAAACTTGGTCTCAAAAAAGAAAAAGAAAAGAAAATCACGTACAAAGAGCCTTATTAATGACTACTTCCTATTTCCCAGTACATTCTAAGATTGCAGCTTAAACGCATGCTAGTGTTAACTAAGAGCAAAATTAATTAACACATATGAACATTCTTAGGCCTTAGATTTCTCTACTCAGAATGTGGTATGTGAGGGGTGGAGTGTAGATGCAGAAAAGCTAGAGGTCTAACTTTGGCTCTTCGTTTAAGCTGTGAATTAGTTTGTTGTTGTTGTTGTTGTCATTGTTGTTGTTGGAGATGGAGTCTTGCTCTGTTGCCCAGGCTGGAGTGCAGTGGCGCGATCTCGGTTCACTGCACCCTCCACCTCCCAGGTTCAAGTGATTTTCCTGCCTTAGCCTCACAAGTAGCTGAGATTACAGGCGTCCGCCAGCACGCCCGGCTAATTTTTGTATTTTTAGTAGAGACAGGGTTTCACTATGTTGGCCAGGCTAGTCTTGAACTCCTGACCTCAGGTTATCCACTCGCCTCGGCATCCGAAAGTGCTGGGATTACAGGCATGAGCCACCGCGCCTGGCCTAGTTTGAACTAGTTCAGTATGATTTTATTCTTGCTACACTGGGTTTGGCTTCATGCTTCAAGACTTATAGAAGCTGTAGATTCCTATAGGTCTTAAGAAAGAATTATTAAAACAACCCAGTTCATAATTGGAGCTATATATATTACATTAGTAAAGGTTTTTTGATAGCTTTTGCAATAGACTTTACTGGCACTAAGTTGTTTTTCTCTTTGGGATTTATAGAAGACTCTTGAGTATTCTCAGATGTGTTTGGCACATAGAAAGGGATAGAGTGACTAGGAGTTGTTTTAGAAGACTTTATCCTGGTATTTTATTTTATTTTTTTGAAGACCCAGAAATTTAGAAATATTTTTTTCTTCTTCAGATAAAATACTCATTTATTTTTTTGAAGCCTCCCTAATGTGTTTAAATGTAGGAACCTAAGCAATGTATTTATACTTTAACTTTGCTTTATTTTCAGGTGTTCTGTTCCAGTAGAGCCAGGAGATATCATTCATTTGGAGGGAGACTGCACATCTGATACTTGGATAATAGATAAAGATTTTGGGTATTTGATTCTGTATCCAGACATTCTGATTTCTGGCACAAGCATAGCCAGTAGTATTCGATGTATGAGAAGAGCTGTCCTGAGTGAAACTTTTAGGGTAAATAATAGTAACAGTTAATGTTTCTGCAGGGTCTGAGAGTGTTACAGAGCACTTTTACATTTATTATTTCAGTTAATCCTCCCAGCAACCCTATAAAATAAATGGTATTAATCAGCTGCATTTTATAGATGAGGAAAAATGGGCTCAGAGAGGTTAAGTGACTTGCCCCGCAGCCACATAACTACGAGGTGGCAGTGCTAGGACTAAAGGCCAGGTGCCTGAGTCCTTCAAATCTTGTTCAGGGCTTAATAAGTAATTATAGTAAGAAAATTAATTTAAATGATAAACTTTTAAATTTAAACACAGCTAGACATTTCCAAACTTGGCTTCATGTGATTCCCACTAAACTAAAAATAAATGTGTAAATCACTGTTTTAAAAATGTATTTTGGTAGAAAAATTAACCAGGTGTGGTGGCATGCACCTGTAGTCCCAGCTACTCAGGAGACTGAGGCAGGAGAATCGTTTGAACCCGGGAGGCGGAGGTTGCAGTGAGCCGAGATCAGGCTACTGCATTCTAGCCTGGGCGACAGAGCGAGACTGTCTCAAAACGAATAACAAACAAATTGTATTTTGGGCTATTTCAAACATACTAAGAGATGATTGTAATAAACTCCCATGTACTCAACACCCAGCTTTTAATTAATTTTTCTTGAAACATGCAGATTTATTTTAAAATAAAATAAGTCTAAAAAAAAGTGTATTTGGGGGCTGGGCGCAGTGGCTCACGCCTGTAATCCCATCACTTTGACAGGCCGAGGTGGGAGGATCACGAGGTCAGGAGTTCAAGACCAGCCTGACCAACATGGTGAAAACCCGTCTCTACTAAAAATACAAAAATTAGCCAGGCTTTGGGGCGCGTGCCTGTAATCCCAGCTACTCGGGAGACTAAGGCAGGAGAATCGCCTGAACTCTGGAGGCGGAGGTGCAGTGAGCGGAGATCCTACCACTGCACTTCATTCAGCCTAGGGGACAGAGTGAGACTCCATCTCAAAACAAACAAAAATGTATTTTGGGCTATTTCAAACATACAAAGAGATTATTGTAATAAACTCCCATGTACCCAACACCCAGCTTTTTATTTATTTTTCTTGAAACATGTACTTTTATTTTATTTTGAGTCTCACTGTGTCACCCAGGCTGGAGTGCAGTAGGTCACCAAAGCCTTGACCTCCCAGGCTGAAGCAATCCTCCTACCTCAACCTCCCGAGTAGCTGGAGCTATAGGCATGAGCTACTGTGCTTGGCCTGAATATTAAGTTTTAAAAAACTTTTTGGGCCAGGCGCAGTGGCTCACGCCTGTAATCCTAGCACTTTGGGAGACTGAGGTGGGCGGATCACGAGGTCAGGAGATCGAGACCATCTTGGCTAACACGGTGAAACCCCATCTTCGCTAAAAATACAAAAAATTAGCCGGGTGTGGTGGCAGGCGCCTGTAGTCCCAGCTACTCGGGAGGCTGAAGCGGGAGAATGGCGTGAACCTGGGAGGTGGAGCTTGCAGTGAGCCGAGAGAGAGAGAGCGGCCTGCACTCCACTTCTGGTCGCAGACAGGAGGAATCCGGCTCAAAAAAAAAAGAAAAACAAAAAAAAAAAAAAAAAAAAGTGGTCTAGCTAATACACAAGGTTTTAATCAAGAAAATGGAAGTGACAGTATGAAGTAGTTTTTCTTTTTGATAGAGAAAATTCTTTGCATAAATCCTGCTGCTGTAGGTTAAAAAATATTTTCTTTCTTCCCAAAGGATTACTGTAAGTAGGTTTAACTGTTTTATCTTGAATGGTATCTTCCTTTTTTACTACATGAGTATCGCTATGCCTGCTTATTGACTTCTATTGGGGTGCGATTACTTGTTTTATCAAGTGAATTAGAGTACAATACTTTAATATTATTGAGAATCATTTTTGAATTTTTAATGTTTTATAACATTTGGTTAATTTTTTTTTCAATATGGTTTTTTTCGAACATTGATTTTAAAAGTAACTCATAGTCAGCCTGCCAACATGGTGGAAACCCTGCGTATAGCGTTAAAAATTACAAAAAGAGTAAAAAGTGTTAGCTGGGGCTATCGGTGGACACACTTTTCAGTTATTTGGGATTGATGGGCTTTTATGGGATCATATTGAACTGGGGAGGTGAAGGTTGCAGTAAGCTGATTGTGTGCCCTTCTCCAGCTGAGGTTCAGAGCAAGAGTCTGTCTCAAAAAAAAAAAAAATTGTGTTACACTCATGCAATAAGTAATTAGACATTCTGAATAGCGGTGGTAAAGAAAGTGAAAGTCACTTGATAATCCACCCACCAGAAAAAAATTGTTATAAGTTTCTTGGTTTGGCATTTGTCTTACAGTGCCATTTTGGCTATGGTGGTCTTAAAGATTAGCATAATAAAATTAACATTGTGTCTGTTAATATGTTGTGAAACAATCGAGCGGCGTTGTGTTGATTGTTTTAGAGCTCTGATCCGCCACTCCGCCAATGTAATTGGACGGTTCCATGAGGTGTTCGAAAAGCAATAAAATAATAGCTTTGCCCAGAAAATGCTGTGCAAGACCTTGCTTTTCAAACGGATTCAAGAGTATTACAGACATTTGAAGGAAATGTAAGTAGTTATTAAGAGGAACTGCAGGTATAATTTTATTTATAACTTCTGTCCTAGAACTATAAGTGATTTGTTATAGACTACTCCAATATAAATTAACTGTAATTCTAAAATGCAGATTCACATTCCTAGTACACTGTTGGAACGCTGGTGTAGGTTGTTTTGAAATTGCCCCAACAGGATCTTTTTTGGGGTAAAAACTAGTCTAAAGTATTTGTACATGTGCGTAAAGATTCTTAACTATTCAAGGAATCGTATAAAGAACTCTTTTTTTTTTTTTTCTTTTTTGGACGGCAGTCTCGCTTGCCGGGCAGGCTGGAGTGCAGTGCAGGATCTCAGCTCACTGCAAGCTCCGCCTCCCGGTTACGCATTCTCCTGACTAGCTCCCGAGAAGTGTAGCTGGGACTTACAGCACCCGCCACCGCGCAGCGCGGCTAGTTTTTTGTTATTTTTTTAGTAGAGACGGGGTTTCACGTGTGCTCACCAGGATGGGTCTCGATCTCGCTGACTCGTTGATGCGCACCTGCTCGGCCTCCAACGCAGTGCTGGGATACCCAGCTTGAGCCACCGGCGCGCCGGCCGGTAAGAACTTTTTGCATTCAGATTCTAGAAACCGCGTGTGATATACTGAGATTATATGGGGTTGGGAATAAGATGAAACTAGTTTCAAAATACAGCTTTATGACCAGGTGCAGTGGCTCACGCCTATAATCCCAGCACTTTGGGAGGCTGAGGCAGGCGGATCACCAAGTCTGGAGATTGAGCCATTCTGGCTAACATGGTTAGACCCTTGTTCTACTGAAAAGTACAAAAAATTAGCTGAGTGTGGTGGTGGATGCCTGTAGTCCCATCTTCTCGGGAGGCTGAGGCAGGAGAATGGTGTGAACCCGGGAGGCAGAGCTTGTAGTGAGCTGAAATCACACCACTGCACTCCAGCCTGGGTGACAGAGTGAGACTCTGTCTCAAAAATAAATAAATAAATAAAAAAAAATAAAAAATGTAGCTTTACAGTATTTTTTTTCGGGGGGAGATAGGGGTCTTGCTATGTTTTCCAGGCCTTACTCAAACGACTGGGCTCATGTGTTTCTCCCCACCTCAGCCTCCTGTGTATCTGAAACAACAGGTACATGTCACCATGCCTGGCCTGCCTTACCAGTTTTTGTTTTGTTTTTGAGACGGAGTCTTGCTCTGTCGCCCAGGGTGGCGTGCAGTGGCTTGCTCTTGGCTCACTGCAGCCTCCACCTCCCAGATTCAAGCAATTCTCCTGCCTCAACCTCCCGAGTAGCTGGGATTACAGGCATAAGCCACCACACCTGGCTAATTTTTTTGTATTTTTAGTGAAGACGGGGTTCCGCCATGTTGGCCAGGGTGGTCTTGAACTCATGACCTCCAGTGATCAGCCCACCTCGGTGTCCCAAAGTGCTGGGATTACAGGCATGAGCCACCATGCCTGGCCTAAAATTCTGATACATATTACCAAATTGCTCTCTATAGACATTGTCCCAGTTTACATTTGTACTGGCAATATATGAGACTTTGTGAGACCGTATGGTCATTTACATCATTTTTAATCAACTGGAAACTGCCTGATTTCAAACAGCCTTATGCAAGGATAACCTTCACTTGCAGTAGTCTTAACTGTGTGTTTTTCTAGATCTTTTTGGATGCTTTGGTATTAGCAGTTGCTTCCTGGCTTGAGGAATTTCAGCTTCTCTTTCAACCTGCGGCTGCTATTTTGCTTAAGACAATTTTGGCAGAGCTAGCATTGTTAATTTTGTTTTCTCTATTGGACTGGCTCTCTCAGAGGGCTGACACAACTCTGCTGTGTCAGTCTTGGTAAGCTGGAGGTGGCAGAAACCTAGGAAAGTAACAGCTTATTAAATCTGGTATTAGAAATATTGCAGTTATATGGTAAATATGTAGTGTCCTAAAGTCTCAATGTCTCATGAATGTGTTATTATACTGCTCCCTTGAGCAAGTGAGAAAAATTATAAGTTGTATCTTTTTTTTTTTTTTTGAGACAGAGTCTCGCTGTGTTGCCCAGGCTGGAGTGCAGTGGCTCACTAGGCTCACTGCAAGCTCCGCCTTCTGGGTTCACGCCATTCTCCTGCCTCAGCCTCCTGAGTAGCTGGGACTACAGGCGCCTGTCACCATGCCCGGAACAGTGCTGACCTATAGTTAGCACTGTATTTGTTGTTATCATCATGGTCTTTATACCTTAATGATTTTCTTTTTTCTTTTTGAATCTCGCTCTGCTGCCCAGGCTGGAGTACAGCACCGCGATATCCTCTCATTACAACCTCTGCCTCCCAGGTTCAAGCGAGTCTCCTGCCTCATCCTCCTGATTAGCTGGGATTACAGGCGTGCGCCACCACGCCCGACTACTTTTTTTGCATTTTTTAGTAGGATGGGGTTTCACCATGTTTGCCAGGCTGATCTCGAACTCCTGACCTCAGGTGATCCACCCTCCTCAGCCTCCCAAAGTGCTGGGATTACGGGTGTGAGCCACCACGCCCAGCCTATACTTTAATGAGTTCTTGTCATCAGCTAAGTGCTTTACATACATTGTTCTATAATCCTCAGACTAACTATGTAAGGTAGTTATTATCTCCTCCTTACAGATGAGGAAACAGGCTTAATTAACAGTGACTTGCTCTTGGTCATATATCTGGTAGTGCAGAGTTAGGATTCAAACCTAGGTGTGATTTTTATATACAAACTGATATGCCCCTACCACCCTAGAGTAGTTATTAAGATTGGGGAGCTTAAATATAAAGAAGGAACTGGAATAATCATCCTGGGAGGGTAAGTTTATAACAGCAGTTCTCAAAACTTTTGCTCTCAGGACCCCTTTACACTAAAAAATTATTGAGGACTGGAAAGAGCTTCTGTTTATGTGGGCTATATCTATGATTAATTACTGTACGAGAAATTAGAACAGATGTTTATTAATTCATTTGAAATTAACATGTATATTCATTTATTTTGTTGTTGTTATTGAGGCAGTCTTGCTCTGTTGCCCAGGCTGGATTGCAATGGCATGACCTTGGCTCACTACAACCTCCGCCTCCTGGGTCAATCGATTTTCCTGCCTCAGCCTTCCGAGTAGCTGGGATTACAGGTGCCTGCCACCACGCCTGGCTAATTTTTGTGTTTTTAAGTAGAGAGGGGGTTTCACCATGTTGGCCAGGCTGGTCTTGAACTGACCTCAAGTGATCCACTCCTCTCGGCTTCCCAAAGTGTTGGGATTACAGGCATGAGCCACCGCACCTAGCCTAAAATATATATTCATTTAAAAATATCAATCTATGCTTGTTAACATAACATTTTAATGAAAAAAACTGTTGTAAAAAATATATAATGCATGTCATTGTTTTACGTTTTTTCAGTTTCTTCTTTCTTCTTTCTTCCTTATTTATTTTTTTTTTGAGGTAAGGTCTCTCTCTGTTGCGCAGGCTGGAGTGCTGTGATGAAATTATCACCCACTATAGCCTCAAACAATCCTCCAGCCTCTATTTTTTTTTTTCTTTCTTTCTTTTTTTTTTGAGATGGAGTTTTGCTCTTGTTGCCCAGGCTGGAGTGCAATGGCATGATCTCAGCTCACCGAAAACTTCCGCCTCCCAGGTTCAAGCAATTCTCTTGTCTCAGCCTCCCGAGTAGCTGGGATTACAGGCATGTACCACCATGCCTGGCTAATTTTGTATTTTTGGTAGAGACGGGGTTTCTCCATGTTGGTCAGGCTGGTCTTGAACTCCCCACCTCAGGTGATCCACCCGCCTCGGTCTCCCAAAGTCTTGAGATTACAGGTGTGAGCCACAGAGCCTGGCCGGTTTTTTTTTTTTCTCCTTAAAGCTACAGCACCCAATATTCCCAGGTGGTCTCCCATCCAAGTAGTAACCAAGCTCAACCCTGCTTAGCTTCTGAGATAAGATGAGATCAGCTGCGTTCTGGGTGGTATGGGTGTAAACCAAGCCTCTATTTTTGCAAATGTTTTAAAGTATGACTTCATAGAAGATCGTGGATTCTTGTGTCTGCCTCTGCATTCAAAATATTTCTATATTTTGGCCGGGCGCGGTGGCTCACGCCTGTAATCCCAGCACTTTGGGAGGGCGAGACGGGCGGATCACGAGGTCAGGAGATCGAGACCATCCTGGCTAACACGGTGAAACCCCGTCTCTACTAAAAAATACAAAAATCTAGCCGGGCGAGGTGGCGGCGCCTGTAGTCCCAGCTACTCGGGAGGCTGAGGCAGGAGAATGGCGGGAACCCGGGAGGCGGAGCTTGCAGTGAGCTGAGATCCGGCCACTGTACTCCAGCCTGGGCGACAGAGCGAGACTCCGTCTCAAAAAAAAAAAAAAAAAAAAAAAAAAAAATTTCTATATTTTATGTCATGTAGCCTCAGAAAATTCAACTGTACTGTCATAAAAGGAAAATGATAAATAATGTATTCATATTGTTATGACATAATTTTGACCTTGTAAGAACCCTGAAAAATTGATACTTGGGTTTTTTTGTTTCTGCAGATTTCTCACGTAAGAAGTTAACATTCCTATATACTGTCCTTTGATGTTGTAAGACTGTTACTGCCTTTCTGTCCATATGACCCTTTTTCCTCTTTAACGTTTCTACTTTCCATTGCTTGGTTTCAGGAGCAATATCTCAATTTTTTTTTTATATCCCAAAGGTATAACTGGGACTCTTCCAATTAGACCATGGTATGAATTAGAGCAAATTATCTGCAATTTGATGTCATGTCACTGTTTCAGTGTTATTTGGATTTTTTTTTTTTTTTCGGACAGGGTCTCACTGTCACCCAGGCTGGAGTACAGTGGTGAGATCACAGCTCACTGTAACCTCAAACTCTTGGGCTGAAACGATCCTTCCGCTTCAGCCTACTGAAGAGCTGGGACTATAGTTCCACACCACCATGCTTGTTGTTATTTGGATGTTTTTTAAAAATTGTGGTTAAATACATATAAAAATCACTGTGTTAGGCTGGGCGTGATGGCTCACCCCTGTGATCCCAGCACTTTCAGAGGCCGAGGCAGGCAGATCACGTGAGGTCAGGGGTTCAAGACCAGGCTGGCCAACATGGTGAAACCCTATCTTTACTAAAAATACAAAAATTAGCTGGGCATGGTGTCGTATGCCTGTGGTCCCATACAGGCATACGACATACAGGCATAGTCACTGAGGGGACTGAGGCAGGAGAATCACTTGAACCTGGGAGGTGAAGGTTGCAGTGAGCCGAGATTGCGCTAACTTGGGCAACAAGAGCGAAACTCCATCTAAAAAAAAAAAAAAAGATTACCCCTTATTAGGTCACGCGTGGTGGCTCATGCCTGTCATCCCAGCACTTTGGGAGGCCAAAGTGGGCAGATTGCTTGAGCCCAGGAGTTTGAGACCAGCCTAGCCAACATGGTGAAACCCCATCTCTACTGAAAATACAAAAAAATTAGCTGAGCATGGTGTTGTGTGCCTGTAATTCCAGCTACTCTGAAGGCTGAGGGGGGAGAATCACTTGAGCTTAGAAGGCAGAGGTTGCAGTGAGGCGAGATCGCGCTACTCCACTCCAGCCTGGGTGACAGTGTGAGACCCTATCTCAAAAAATAAGAAAGAAAAGAGATAAAGAAGAAAAAAATTACAATTTTAACTTTTTGTGGGGATGTGTGTGTGTGATGGAGTCTTGCTCTCTTGCCCAGGCTGGAGTGCAATGGCGTGATCTCAGCTCACTGCAACCTCTGCCTCCTGGGTTCAAGCGATTCTCCTGCCCCCAGCCTCCCAAGTAGCTGGGATTTACTCCATGCACCACCACGTCTGGCTAAATTTTGTATTTTTAATAGAGACAGGGTTTCACCATGTTGGCCAGGCTAGTCTCCAACTGCTGACCTCGGCCTCCCAAAGTGCTGGAATTACAGATGTGAGCCACCGTGCTCTGCCTGTGTTAACCATTTTTAACGGTACAGTTCAGAGGCAAAGTACATTCACCTTGTTGTGCAACCATCACCTATCTATCTCCAGAACTCTTTGCATCTTCCCAAACTGAAGCTCTGTGCCCTTGAAACAATAACTTCTCCTTCTTTCCTCCTCCCAGCCTCTGGCAACCCCCATTCTACTTTCTGTCTCTGTGATTTTCACTGCTGTAGGTGCCTTATATGAATATTAGTCCTTTTGTGACTGGCCTATTTCACTTAGCATAATGTCCTGAAGGTTCTTCAGTGTTGTAGCATATGTCAGAATTTCCTTCCTTTTTATAGCTGAATAATACTGCATTGTATGGAATATGCCACATTTTGCTTATCCATTTATTGGCTGATGAACAGTTGGGTTGCTTATTTGTGTTTTTGTCCTCATTTACTTTTCTAATATTTATACTTTCATATTTACTATCATATTTTTGGCAGGTACCGCTTAAATCTAAGTCAAGATGAAATAAAACAAGAAGTAGAGGACTATCTTCCTTCGTTTTGTAAATGGGCAGGAGATTTCATGCATAAAAACGCTTCGACTGACTTCCCTCAGATGCAGCTCTCTCTGTAAGAAACACATTTTGTTTATATAGTCTTCTTATTTTTAGACCAGCATGCTATTCTGTGTGTTGAATCAAAGTTTTTAAAAGATTGAGCAATTACAATTAGCTGTTTTGCTTGCTTACTTTATAAATTACTGTCCTAAGTATCTTTACATGACAAAAAAGAAACCAGTGAATAGAAAATTTTATTTTCATTATTATAAGATAGCTTATTTTTTATACGTAGATATATATTTTCTTTTTCTTTCTTTTTTTTTTTTTTTGTCACCCAGGCTGGATGAAACTTTGACCATGGTAAAATTTGTCACAGCCAAGACATTAAGTTTCTAATGTTACGTAAATTTTTTTTTTTTTTTTTGAGACGGA